AGACAAACAAATAGAGTAAATCTTCTATTTTGATTCCTATATAAATATATATAAACTCGAAACGCTACCATGCTTCTGTACGGATGACGGTAACCAAATCATATTCTTTTTGGGATGGAAATTTAGTTCAAGTAGGGCGTATCTAACCACACTACCAGTTGTTTTTCCGCTCAATATTGATGTAGGAACACCATCTCTTGTTACCTATGATAGCTTGGTAGGCACCTATCAATGCGGCGAAGCATTTCCTGGTGCCTGGCGAGGCACTGAAGGTCGATAAGAAACCACTTTGTGTGCTTTACGCAGCCCATCGAATGCTCAGGCTTCTAATTTCTGATAGTATTCTATATATTGAAGAGGTCTTACAATTGTATGGTATTCTCAGGTTACCTTTTCGGCCAGTTAACGAATTGCTTGCTATCCGAGCCGTACATCAACCACGGACAGCTGGTCGGGGGTAGGGTACATTTTCCAGGTCTAAGACCTCTCAATTTAACAGACCCCTCTGAGCAGCTTTCTCAATTATACAGTCCTTATTATATATCACACAAATATCCTAGGCTAGTTTAACAGCCCTAAACCTCGAGAAAGGGTAAAAAGAAGTAAGTGTCGAGAATGGCCTCTTTTTTTATCTTCTGCCGTCACGTTTAAGGTCTTAAATTGTCATTAATTTTATTTCATTGCCGACAGAACAATAGAGAATGCACTTTTGAATGATGTGTAGAAGAAAATAAACGGTAGTGTGAGAAAAGGGAAAAAGTAGGTTTAAACACACACATATATATACCCTAGACATTTTATTATTATTAAATCTTAAAAATATATTTAATAGTAATAAAATAATAACACACATCCAAAGCCAGCATATAATATTTGCCAATGTGCTGTTACTTACAGACATAGACTGAGCAACCGATTGACCTATGAACACGTTCTCTCTTTTAACGCATATATATACAACTACGGACGGGCAAATATGGCCGCGAAATCACGCTTTAGTCTATTAATGCGTGGTCACCCCTTGTCCGACGATCAAGTCGATGAGCCTTTGAGTGATCAAATCGTGTATGCAAAACACGCCGGTGGTAAAAGCATGTTTCCGTTGTTTGTTTTTCCAGATATATAATATTTTTTATGCTTGTTATTTTCAGGCATTGCCCTTTAACGGGACAGTTGTAGAATCGGGTGGGATTATTCCATAGAATCAATTTTCTTCAGAAAAAGACAGCCGAAAGTAGCTAGGCCAGCTCGGTATATCAGTGCCTCAAAATTGTGATTTCTATATTTTTTGAGAAATGCTATTCTCAAACCACATCAAGTGATTTTTCAAACTAAACGTATCGTGTTTTTCCGTCTCGCATTGCGCTGTATATAAGTGAGAGTGATTCAAAGCACAGATAAAGAAAAACTAATCCTGTGGTTGGCCAACAAAAGAGTCAAAATTTTGCCCAACAATATAATCTGCACTTTGACATGTTGTTTGTATATGATTAGCTGTAGCCTTAACCTCTCTCTACTCTAAGCCTATTTATTCTAAACCTTAAACGTATTCTTTCTGCTCCCTTATATATAAACTGCGCAGTAGGAATCAGATGCGTTAGTTAACACTTTATAGAAATCTTGTTAGTTCTTCAGTATGCGATTAATCTTAAGATGCCCTTGAGACAAGATAAATACTTTGTAAGCAAGCTACTTCGTTTCATTGGCATAGAATTACTAGTCCAGTTAATTAAAGTAGCGTGCACACAAATTTGCTTACTTGCTATTATCTCCTGCGCAAACGGTACCTCCTCATATCAGTATTAGAGTATGCATAGGCGCGAGTTGGTTTCTTTTTAGCGGAGCTCGACCTATGGCCGTCATAGCTTTTTCCAGCATCCGCGCCTAGCTGAATGCATTAGCATGATGGTATGCCTATTCGGCCTAAGTACGGACCGGACTTTACATTAGCTATGTTTACTGTACAAGCCGATATAGTCTTCTACCGCTTAGAGTGTCAGAGACATCTCTCATGGAAGGGAGCCAGTTTACCGTTTGGTTATAGCGTGCCTTGAGCATAGAAGGAACACGTGTTTAAGAATATTCTAGGAATTGGCAGCTGCTGCCTTAACCAATGCGTTTACTACAATTACGTAAAGCATACAAATTCGTAATGATAAAAATACAGTTTGACATTTACCGCAGGTAACTGCTACATACCATTAAGTCAGCAATATCCGTAATAGGAATCTTCTTCTGCAGATTAAGCTAGACCCACTTAAGAAGCTTCCTGAAGAATTATGGAATACGAGGTTGTGAGCTATAGCAAAAAACGTAGTGTAAGATTTCAATAGAAGAACTCTTGTCGTCAGAGTTAGTGGGTACGCTGTGCTAGTGACGTATCAGAGTATGACATATATGGAAAAGATTAATTTATTATTTTTGTATTAATTATTTTTGCCTTTCTTGTTTAAGCATAATAAATGTGTACCATTTATACGCGTCAGGTAAGTAAGTTCCAGCCTCAGGATACGATATCGCAGCCTGGGATTGCCTTGTTTATTGCTCCCTTGTTGTGATCTCTGCTTGCGCTCGCGTATTTATAGCATGTACTCTCTAGCGTCGCTAACTTCATGAACTTTCGGAGGTCCAACACGAAAAGCCAGGCTATTTGTTTTATCTAGGCGAAGCTAAAATAAATCAGGCTGTTCTACTCCTGTACTCAATTTAAACGATAAGCGCCCCGATATAATCAAATTCCTCAAAACAAGCCAATCCATTTTTACGCTTAACGAAAAATCGTTTCCTCTAATCACCTGCTTGCAAAAACATGGATTTGCGAAAAAGTTTACATTGTAGTAAAAAAAAAAAAAAACTGAAAAAACATGCTGGCTATAGTGGATTAACATGTAAAAAATACACTAGAAACCACTTTTTTTGCCGAAGCGGAATTTCTCTATATTTTTGAGTAGTCCGTCGTGAGCGTCAACGCACGCTATACTGAAAGCACCATGACATCCTCAGAGCAAACTTCCTATGTCACTACTTCTGCTGACGGCATCTATGCGTGTACAATCACTTAGTCATTGTCGCGTTAACGCATATTTGAAACCAAGCTCTCTGATAAATATAAGTAAAATAAAATTTGCGATGTTTCCTTATTTTGTTTTGTTATTTACATTGTGTGCTTGTAACGTATCAATTTTATGCTTTGAATTTATACGAGACCCGAATATGGTGTTGCATAGCGTAATTTAACTACGACAACACAACCCTACCTCTCAACCCTTTTAGAACCCGAAGCACACATCTGTAATAACTAAATAAAGAAATGTGTACCGTTATCGGGTACAAGCGCCTCCGGATACCCGTAGCTCCCGTTATGAGGTTCTCCATTGTGGATCTAACTTATGGGCAAAAGAGTAGTTTCTTGCCACTTTGAAAAAGCATCCACGACGAACATATAGAATGTTCCATATGGTGATCTGAGAAATTTTCGTAACGCGGCCATGTGATTTGCTAGGCTTATAGCAGCCAAATATTACTCTTCATCGATTTCTTCGCGGCTTCTATACAGCATAAACCAGTAACTCGATTTTTTCGTCCAGAGCTTGCCAATAAGTGTAATAAACTACCAACCGATTTATCCATATGATCACTGAGTTCCTTTAAATAAGGAAAATATCTGTGTTATAGTATTATGTATTGCTATTGTATTATAGTTTAGTTATAAACGGAACAGTAGCCTTAGGTGTATTTACGACAGCTCTGATCGCCTAATTACCATTGTTTTTTACCATATTCTACAGATTTTACGGACTAACTACCATTTTTCGTTTCACCTAAATTTCCTGTACATCTCTGTCTCATATCACGATTTTCTTTTCTGTGCTTACTGAACAAATCCAGACCTCTTAGCTAGAACCTCGTTCAACTGTATACGTGCTGCCAAACCCTATAAACATTAGTTTCTCTACGCTTCGAGCTTTTCGTGTTTGGCTTTTCGTTAGAAGGTTAATTTCTATCGCGAAATAAAGTGTGTTTGGATTTAAACCTAAATTACAATGTTTCCCAAAAATTAGCAGGTAAACACGTCACGCGCAAAGCCATCACGGGGTTTAGTACCAGTGGTCTACGATGTAAATATCGTTGAGGTGATAATAGAAACTTGTCAGTGCAAAAATAATGGGAAGGGCTCCTCCTTCAGTCTGCGGCTGCAGTCTTTACCCTGTACCTAGAAAGTTACTCCTGCAGATAACCGCACGTTCGGAATAACCAACAGACAGGAAATAGAAACACTATAGATCTGTAATTTCCTTAAACAATTTGGGTGCTGCATGTTAGCAAAACCTACAATTTTAATAGCATCTGGTCTTTGCCATGATTTCTCAATGGTAAAACCTAACTATTGATTTTCTTGGATTAATAACTAGAATCTTGAGAGCGTTATTTTAATTATTAATGCATTAATTATGCCATTAATGCAGAAAAATACGCCAGTATTTATAGCAACCCTTTCGAACTGTGGTACGCAATGAAGCTCATCCATGTAAGCTGTGATCGTCCGTTGAAATATCGCTAGTGTACATGTTACCCCGCAGACAGATGGCTATACCGGAAAACACATCGTAGTAAACAATTATAATAAAACTCGAAATGTACATAAAAACGCTTTTCCCAAATCTGCTTGACGAAAGTGGATATCTTAATTTCGTACGGTAGAAAACGCATTCATCGTTGGCAACAGCTGGCGATGAGTCTTAAATGTGTTGTTCAACCCTATCGATGTTGGTAGGATCTTCATTATGCTCCCCAAGGATCACTATAGATGCTACCTGACTACGTAATCTCTAGTACTTTGAAATGTCTATTTAAACAAAATTATGAAGTCCCTAAGCTGATCTCTCTATCATAAAAGCAATCGAACTTTCATAAAACCCTTTGTCAAAAGGTAAAATAAAAAATCGTTTTTTTTTTTTTCTTCAAATTGATACCTATTTATTCAATCGTCCCCCCAATTCAAGTTGTTGCTTTCGAAGTACTCCCTGCCGAACGTAACACAGTTATGCTTTCCAATCCAAAAAACCTAATCGCCGGAATAGTCCCTCAGATTGGTCAGTAATTTTCGTTTTATCTCTTCTGCTTTCCCTTTAGGTTTCAGACTAGGGGAGTTCAGTGAATCCGGAGACTGAAGCAATACATACACCAAGTTTTTCTCAAGAATTGTTGTATCAGTAACAAGGCGTATGCCAGTGTGTTGTCGAAATGGAGAACCCATACTTTGTGGTGCCACAGTTTTGTTCTCTTGCGTCGGACAGATTTGCGTAATCATTTTAGAACTTCTTGATAGCAGTTCTTGATGACCATGAAGCCGCACGACACGAACTTATGAAGAACAATTCCTCAGCGGTCGCCGTGACAAATCTCTTGGTTTTGTACTTGGATGGTACGAATCCATTCGGTCGGTGTTTGTTTTTACGAGCCGATACTGGGAAGGTTGCGCTTTGCTCTCCTCTTCATACTGATACACTTACATCTGGTTACCTGTAATGTGTCCAAGCCAGTTTAGTTTTTCTAGACGTGACAAAAGGTTTTCCTGACACACTTCTTTGCGGGTGTCTATCTGCTGGACATTTAGTGGCTTTGGCATAAAGTTTGAGGCAAACCTTCAAGGTTAAAATGGCCTCACGTAAACTAACCGTAGTCTTTGTTCTGATAGCTCTCTTATGGTAATTCGGCGAATGGCGGGTTCGACCTGGATCACCAGTCACATTTTCGCTCGCAATCAGTGTCATAGGTCTTCTAGAATAAAGATCGGCCTTCATAAATGATTTATTTGTCTTCGAAATGTTTCAGCTACCCGTTTACTTGAAATCAACTGAGTGTCTCTCTTTCTGTAAGCGTTCTATAGAGTGGTTCCAATTTGCTATATATTTTCAGGTTTGGCATTATGAACTTGGCTTAAAGGGTACCATATACTGGTATCGTTCGATATCTAGTTATGCTTCGATTCAGTCACTGGTTACTCGTTGTATTACGAAAATACAACTCAAGAGTCTTACTCCATTAGCAATATGCGAACTGACTTAAATAGATCTTATTCTTAGTACTCTTAAACACCCTTAAATGTGTTTGCAAACAATTGGTTAGTCAAACTTATTTCTACATTTTTCTGCCCTATCTGTATATACATCGGTTAAGATCTATTCTGCTTTGCTTAGTTGTCTCCCTCTTATTTTATATATATATATAAGTTGATAAAGTGACCAGAATGCAGCATGTGAAGCACCGATCCAAAAGCGATTCATAAAAGAAGAATGGTACAAAACGCATTGAGCTCTATTAGACGTCCAGACGGAACACAACGACGGATGATTGCGAAAAGGCACAAGTACTTGGTACTTTCTTCGATTCTATATATCTCTCGGAAGGCGAATCGCTGCGAGGTAATTAAGTGAATTCCTCATTGCTTCCTGAAAGTCCTCTCTGATTTACCCTCTCGATATGAAGATCAGCTCAATAAAGGTACTAGGGCAGACGAGGAAAGTATAGTTCAATATTAGTGAAGCGACGTACAGACTTTTGTACTTACCTAAAAGACTCGACGCCTCAATCTGTATCTCTCTGCGACGAATTTTTAGGCTGTCTATCGAACGTGTCCAAGTGCCTTATATATTCCGAGCAGCTATGGTGAATCTAGTGCACGAGAAGTCCTAAAGTCGGTGCCTGCAGTGAATAGACAAAGCACCATTAGATTTGTATGTCTACTGTGAGTCAGGTCTGCTGAATGACGAGGTGCATTCCCTACCGAATGAGAGAGCGGTCAGAGAGTGAGCCACCAATTTCAAACTCAGGAAAGCATCAGAAGCAGAAATTAAAGGCTTCAAAAGACATATATGTGAAGCCAGCGAGAAGTGGAAGCAAGGAACGATTCTGATTTAGTGGATCCTCAACAAGAAGAATCGGCTTGGGAAAATCTGGCGTTTGGCCGGACTTATTGATGAAAAGAAGAAAATTACTGGGTTGGGTTCACAGAGAGAACGAAGGGACAATTCTGCTTTCCTCCAAGGATTGGGTCTGTCAGGCGCGATAGAGAACCTAATTACGGACACTCCGACCTGTCGAACCAGTGGCGTCCGGCATTTTTCCTTCCAGTTTGTGGTACTATTAAAAGAAGATACGAGCCGGCATGGAGTACAGCGTAAGAAAAAAATTGAAAATTCGTGGGCAGTGCTCTCGGCGAAACCAAATCCAGCCACAGTCGACAGAGCTTCACAGTCGGCCTACATAAGATAGGTGTAATTTGGGCGAGCCCCGATGGTGCTTAAACAGCATTATCGAACCTTTTCAAACAAACTGCGCTGCCACATATAAAAACGTTAACAAGGAAGGACTGATATCTGATGTTCAGTCCGAATATAACCTGCTGTTATTAAAAATGCAATTCGAATGGACAAGGTTCATTTTTTCATTCGTTTGTCATTGTTTCGGTATGATATACTTGTACTTCAAATCAGTATCTGAACATATCAACCATTGCAAGTTTTTCAACACGGTTACTCACTTCGGCATCGGTGATCAAATTGTTGTCATATCTTCCATGTTTGAGTTCTCTTATCTATAGAAGCCCGTCGAACACTAATCAATTTTCTGAAGTGCTCGACACTTATTCTAGGACGAAAGTTCGCCACTGAGTCAAAAGGAACTTATTTTTATTTTATGGTGTTATTTCAATCAATATTGGTATCAGCCATTTTCAGTGTCGCTAACATAGGAAAAGTAAGAAAGGAGAGTAATGCTATATAGATACAGACACTATATGAGGAACTTAAATTTTTTTGGCCAGGAAACGTTGATATGAAGTTTTAGTGCTATTAAAGCTTCAGAACTCGTCTGTAACTGGAATTACTCGATTTTTTGACCAAATTGAAAAAAAAATGGGCTATATGGGATAAGTGTTTTTTGCACTTCATCGATAAAAAAGCAAAATGCGAAACCACCACGTTCCTCCTCCACAGGCCTTTAAGCTACGATTTCAAAACCAAACTCAATGCGACTTATGTTTCATATAAGTTATTTTGAGTTACATTACACAATTATTCTGGAAGTTGTATGGGCCGGTATCACTTTGAATTTATGTGAAATACAATGTCATCCATTGCTTATTGTACAGAGAAACTAGAAGCGTCAATTATCAGAACTTAGCGGAGCAACAAATGCGTATATATTATATGTGTATATATGTCATACCGAGCAAGCGTATCAACGTTTCGTGCTTACATGCACCGCCTTTCAAAAACAGCCTTAGAAGGTCGCTTTTGAAAGTGATTGTGACATCGGCGTTCGCACAGAACACCGTCGGAGAAGGGCCGGACAACTGGCATTGCGGCCAGCGTAAATGGAGAGATCAACTGACAGATTTCTTAATATGGCACGAATGCTTTTCCTTGCAGCAATCTAGAGAGATGGAAGATGTCTTTTGCACACAGAATGAGTCTTGATAAGGAAACCAGGTTTTTTCAACAATTTTAGAACTTTGATGAAATATATAGAAATTCTGTCTGTTCAGATATCTTTAACCAAACGGGACATCCTTTCTTACAGTAATGCATCGTCCAAATAAAACAGCGCTCACAGAAATGAAGCTAGTCGTACAAATGGCATTACAAGTACGCAAAATCCTTGTTACAATGCTCGTGTTTTGAGTTTCCTAGAATGCACTTCAGGGAGTATATGCAGAATGAGTGCAGCCGTTAAAAGCCAGGGTTTTGCAAACCCATTCGGTTTGATTACAAAGTAAATGTTTTAGGACTTTTTTCATTGCGTTTCGTTGCAACAAATCGCTATTCCTAAGAGACGTTCTACTAATTATGAATAGCCACAAACGCACGCTTAAATGTGATCAGGTCGGCTTCAAAGAACCGTAGCCACATCATTATGTCTCAGCTCAAGATAGCATTGGTAGCTTTCAGCATATGGGCTCGCTTGCTCAAGTTGTCGAATTATATTGCCCAAATAAACGCGCTGCTAATTTGTACATTAGTGTGTCTTATCTTTACAAAAGCGATTGAAGCATTCAACTAACACTATAAGAGCTGTAGCTAACCGATACAATCACTCTAATGGGTCCTTCGTACAGAATCATTAGTGGCCCACGGAGCCTCACCTCTAACCCATTAAGCTCCATCAGGCAATGTTATACAGGCTAAGGCATGGGTAGCTTTAATTTATTATTCTTTAAAAGCTAGTTCTATATTGCTTCCTCACTTCAAGCCATAGGACACAGGAATCCTTAACGAGTACTACATATTTTTCTACTAACAACGAACCTTTTTAACGGTAGCGCTCGGTAAATTTGACGCATATAGCCTTACCCTGCCGAAGGCAATAGGAACGTCTTGACTCAACTCTGTACATACATAGATTATCACATTGTTCTGGATATCGCATCATTGATATGGAGGACTTTGGTCTCTAGTTCACTGTCTGCTCGTTGCTTTCACCAATCCACAGGGGATCCCAAGCCCGGATGTATTATACTTATCGGCTGGTTTTACTTCAGGCGCTACAAGTCCATAGGATTGGTAAGATAGGATCAGCGAAGTACGACAGAGAATAGTAAACGCAGATCGCTCTCTGATAAGCAACAACGACTTTCGAGAAATATTCACCAGTCGATGCTTGAGGCCTCTATAATATTTCTATGTATTTGCTTTGAGCAAAAATCGTATAGCAGATGTACTTTCGTATTTAAACCAGGTTGCAGGTTTAAGCAAATGCTCTCTTTGTAACTCTTGTACTCAATCGTATTAGACAAAATGTCTAGTACGACTGAGTTCCGTTAAAAGAAGCAAGGCCGTTCTCTGCCTTGGGAGGTCCCATTCGGTCAAATGAGTCATATCGCAAACGGAGAACGGTCACTCGCATTTACCTGAAAACGATTCAAAATAACATAATATTTCGAAACTAAAAATAATTTGAGGGTAGGAAATACTGGTTGCCTAACGGATCACATCGCCAGCCAGCTATTACGTATCAGAATCAGACAGGCGCTAAAACATATCTACGCATTTTATGGTTACCTGAATATGTAATTAATTATGAACGTAGTTGGTATATTTTATATAATAGATTATAGATGGTGTTGAAGGTGTTGGCATCGTTGTCACGTGGGAAAGTGGTTCTGGTATGATCGCATTGCGTGTTTTAGCTGGAACAATGTAATCAACGCAGAAAGTACGCTACTTTAAGTACCGTTATTGTACACAGAACAATGATAAGCGGAATTCATCGACATATTTGGGCAGTAGTTGCACTCGGTGAACGTGTTTCAAACGTGCCCTTGCAAAAGAAGGAAAACGATTTGGTATAACGAAACAGGAAATCTACGACAGGGGAAAGAAGCAGTGCGAGCAGCAGTCCACCGGTGCTTTCCAAATATACATATTTTTCGACCATATTGTTAGCATAGAAATTTTATGCGAACAGGCCTGCTATGTCACGGGTTATTTACGAAGATCTCAGGAATAAGCTATACTTCACACAAGTGACAGGGATGATCTCTGAAACTAATGTATCCAAGAGATTTTACCGGTGTTTTAGGCTTTTCAATTTATATTGGAGATGAAGTAGCAGACTGTCTTCGATTCCGCTCTGTCTGATAGGATAATACTGATCGATGCAAAATCAGCAGCAGCAGCAGCAATAATCGCTGGCTCGCTCACGAACCAAAGGATATGCGTATCGTGAGTAGAAGCAAAATTATATAAAGTCTCGTGAAAACGATGTCTAGAAAAGGAAACGCGCCAACACAGGAGTTTATCTGCATTTTCTATAAACCGTTACATGGGCGTGGATAGCTACAGGCTGCAGGTCAATTAGCCTTGCTAACGTAAAACGTAAAAAAAAAATAGGAGCATGTCTTGGGATGAACACATATGATCCTTGAACAGCCCAAAGTCGGATCCGTCGGATTACTCTGTATGAAGCGCTATTGAGGGAGAGTCCGATAAGCCCTAACGTGGCAGCATCAGCTTATTCGTTTATGTTGTCAACGAAGCATAACTGCAAAGGGTACATTTGCTAGCGAGCCTGTTAGCGATTTGGGTCCCGAATTAAAGATGTACCTACTACGAGCGGTGGCTAAATTCAGTAAACACGATTGCTAATGATGATACGTTCAGCACATCTGTCTCATTTAAATATCAGCTTTTGTTTAAATTAAATAGTTTTAAAAATGCTACGCCAGTGTCCCGCATGTTAATAGCAAAAAAATAAGCTAAATCGTCGGATCATTTTTAAAAAAATCTGTTCAGTTCGATGATATTCATAGAAAATCCAACTTTTTTCTTAGTACGTCTGTTCTTCGGACATATCAGACTCACAATTCAGCCAGTTGCGAAACGTAATCTCGTTGCAAATAATAGGGCTTCTGTCTTTATCATGCCGAAACTATGTACTCTTTGTTTGAGTAACTTTTAATAACCTATTTGCGATGCCAGGGCTTTAGAAGAAATAAGAAAGTTACTAACACTTTGACTGTGAAGGTAAACCGATTGGACAAAAAGGATCGCCGCGGTAAATGCCCGTTGTCGATGACAGTGAACTTTTTCATTGTAATTTAAAATGCGTTCTTCTTGAGGCCCCAGGGGTCCTGTTTAGATTCCTCTGATGCGCATAAAAGTAATTAGACATTCGTAACCGCAGGACTCCATGATTGCGGCAGTTTTGTTTGTCTGCCTTCTTGAAAAGATACTTTACTCATTTGTCTCGTATTCTGTAATGAGAACCGTCGTTAGTTGTTCTGGGCTGCTGGTACCTATTGACAAAAGGTTACGCTTCAAGTCACCTCTCTATCTGGGTGTTCTCTGTTTTCCTAAAAAAAATACTCTTGATGAGAGCGCAATTACCTGCTAGCCTTGTCACTGAACATCCCCATTTAGTGAGACGTTTGCCGTCCTCTGACGGCAATGCTTTTTCAATTATCGCTGGCAAAAAGTTTTAGGCAAAAAGGTCTTACCAAGCCGATATTATTGAACGAGTCCAAACTGCTACGTCGTATTCGAATAGAGAATTCAATTTAGCTAGTAACAAAATTGCGGAGAGTTTAAACACTGCCAAATGATGACTGGCTGATCGTGACTACTGTTTTGAAATTATGACATGTTTTTTCTTGACAAAAACTATCTAATATCACTAAACGTATTCTCGCACAATGTTATTACCAGTGGATAAGGAAACTGGACGTAACTGTACAATATGAAAACGGCTATATATATCGTTTGTCTGCAACAGTAAGCTTGTAAGCAATAATAAAGCTGCTTTAGTAAGCTTTATTACTGACGAGTTCTTTGCCGATCTCTTAGCAAGAGTTTCAGATCTTCGCTTACGCCTCGTTTACATAGATACACTGATTTTCATTAGAGTGGCCTACGACTCCAGGGGAAAAGCCGCGCGTCCTTTTCAAACCATAGCAGACAGAGTAGGCGCTTCGGTTTAACGCGAGGTCTAATCTACTTATTTTTGTCACGCTATTCATCTCCGAAACAGAAAAAGATTCATATAGACAGTCCAGTTAGTGGACACACCCGGGTCTTTGGCGACGGTTCGGCTCAATACGACGTTAACAAGGAGATCGGGCCTTGGACTCCTTTGTCAGTGTTCTGAGAACAAAAAAATGCTGAGGGAAAGGATCGCCCTAATATTTGTAGTTAGGGCGGAAGTGAATGTCATTATGATGCCTGATGAAGGCAGCTAGATCCTCTATTTCGTTGCTTTGCTCACCGTATGAATATCTCTGCTAACCTTAACCTGAATATGAAATGACAGCAGTGATATTGTTGCCGTAATAAGCATATGAGATATGTGCACGTCAGTCTATCTTCATGAGAATATTACGCGAAAATTTTGCACGCGCTGCATGTAGGCTACTCCGCTGGTCGCTTTGAATTATTGTAGAAAGTATAGAAATTACTACATGTTGTGTAATTGTTTAGTTTGGTGTTTTTGACAGAATAACCGTTACGTTTAAGTAACCATGAAATTAAATATACATTCGTTTTGCGTTACATAATATACATTGGAAAATCGCGGGTAACGCTGCAGTTAGCTAAGAGTATTGTAAGACGACGTATGTCTTGAGGTATCGTAAGATTTAAATGCTCTCGTTCGGAGCATGAAATACGTTTTTTCTTCAAAGTGCTTGACTGATTTGGTGGTTTAGAGAAACATAAAAAGCGCGCGCGCGCGCTTTTTGAAGATTGGAGGACGCTCAGTTGTTTTCCGTTAATACATTGGGGACGTCACATCGTGTATTCAGTCTAATAATTCGTCTAAAGATCTTGTTCTGCAGTACAATCTTTGCAGTGCCGTCAATAGGTGCTTTTAATGAACTAAGAGCATACGCCAAAAGCGAATTCAATGATACTTCTAATCCTACCAAGTTTTACTAATTTATTATATACAATTATATTATTTTTTACAGTTTAATGCCATTTAAAAAGAGAGGAGTTGTTATGGCGTTATTTACGGGTCCGTAACTCTTTTCGTGTAACCATTTTGAAGCGGGGTCTACATGTGATATCGTCAACTACGATTATTGCTTATGGTCAGTTCAATACAACAAACCGCGTCAACGCAACTTACAACCTTTGTCAAGGCCACACCTAATAAACACAAAACAAAGAAGTTATAGAACTATGCGTTTTCCAGATAGCGTTATTTATTTCAGTACGAGGTGCAAACCATATGCTCTAGAACTTTAAGATTCCGTGGATGTCAAACAACTTCGTATATCTCATTTAATATTATCTTATGAAGAGTTACAGTCTTACTCCTGCCGAGAATTTTCAAAGCTTGGAAGAAGGGAGACTATTGTAAAAAAAAACTGGTCCTTCTTTCCTTTTGTGGGGCCTTCTTTGCCCATGCTAGGCTGTGGAACTTTCAGGCAATCTCTTCCAAACATATACGTAACTATAGAATACCTATACATTAAATCCAATGTACAACACTTCCCAGCTATATATTGAAAAAACACGCTACTCCTATACACAAACTGTTTGCTACAATTACGCATTATTGCTACGACAGTACGTAATTAGTAGTTAGGGGGAATCACCTATATAACAGAGTGATATAGATGATTTCCCCTAACTGGTTTTATCTGCACTCATCCGCGGAAGCATGAATACATGGGCCAAATTGCAAACTATTCCAATCCAGCTGCTACTGCCTTTACTCAAAGTTTTACTAACAAGAATCCTTTTTGGAACATTTTTTACTCGATTGCGGCACTCTGTTAAACAAACGTTATGATTTAATTGTCAACTAATTATCGGCCCCGTGAAACAAAAGCCCTGCTTAGCACCAACACATTTTCCCCTGTTCTTCATTTCCATCTCAAATGATTATTGTCCTTTCATTGAGTGGATTAGTTTATTTCGTAATGCCATCGAGTCCATGTATTAAGCAGTACCTTTTCTTGTTACAGGATTCAAGCCGACTGTCGTTGTGGATTGCATCTGATAATATCAGCCGAGGTCGAAGCCTTTATAAAAAAAAAACTCATTTTTAGCATACTGTGTGCATTCCCCAGTGCAAAGACTAAATCTTCAATGGTCTTATTGACTTGCAAGGATGGATGTCACCCTAAGGGAATAAGGAGGTAAGACAGTTTAAATATACTCTAGAATGAAGACATATATGAGGTCTAAACACTCTACAAGTTTCCCGAAGCCAGTT